GAAGTAGGGACTGCATCAGGTTTCTTTAAGACTGACTGATTCTTGGTTCTCAAAAGTAAAGGGCACGATGGCTGAGAGCGGGCGGTTACTGTCAACGTCATTGGTGGAAAGACTGACAGGGGTGTGGCAAAACGCTTTTTGCAGCCTTCCATGTGTGACGTTGACAGTAAGTGCCTGCTCCTAGCCATCGTGCTCTGTGCCTTTAAAAGGCTGGACTCCGTGTGCATCGTTTTAATGCACGCTTTTTACGGTCGCTATCGGCGCCTCTTGTGGAGGTGTTCCTGCATGCGTACGATTTGGCGCAGCGCCAGCTCGTTTTCACCATTGGAGCGGACAGTAACTGATTAAACTGGCTGGCGCCGCGCTAAGACGTGTACTTGTAGGGTTGCCCCAGCTGGCATTCCGGTAAGAACTGTAACTCCCGTTACGTGCTTTTCTTTCAAACTCTCGAAATATCTTTTCCTAAGTCGAAGTTTCACGAGACAGAAGCACGTGCGCGAAATGTTTTTTTAAAAGATGATTTGGTCGTGGTTCATTGGGCTTACAGTGCTTATGGTTTGATATAAGTGGGTCGCATTGTCCCTTTCTCAGTGTTTATGGCTTGAGATGAAAGAACAGCTCCAAGATTGAGAATCAGTGACTATTTTCCTGTTCCCATAGAGTATCTTTTCAGCTGTGATGCTTTCCTCGATTTACCGCACACCCTCACTGATGTACAACTGGCAGAATTCGAAGCAGTTGATCCATTTATTGAGCAGTTCAATGCTAGTTTGGACAAGCAGATAGCGAGCTATGAGCCGCTCTTGCACAAGGAAAACTTCCAGGTGGGTGAAACTTGACAAGGGAGGCCTCCTAATGGCCTAGAATGAAGAATCGTCCAATGGCAAGGAGATTTCAGAGTTTGCTGCTGACGATATGCAGTGAGGTGGAGAGCCAATTGGAACGTGTCATCATGAAATGTTCATTCAATCGGCTCGGCGGCTTGCAATTGGATCGCGAGTTCCGTCAGCTAAGCGCATATCTCAGTGGAATAGCTGGCTGGACAGCTCGAGAAAGATGTGCTCGCTTGTCCCAGGTTGGTTTTTTTCAAATTTTTGTTGAGATTTGAGGAATTCGGGGGGGGGATGGCCTGTTAGGTATGGAATTTGATCGAGTTCTCGCCATTATGCTGTTTTACTGTGGTAGAAGCCTCAGGTGCACGTGCTGGGAAAATATTCGATCCGCTCTCCATAGCTATGGGTTTCGCTGCTTTTTCCATGCAACCTTTAAGAAGTTCCAGTGAAAGTGATGATTCCTATGATTCCCATGGGAGTGATTCCCATGATCCCCTAAGAGACCTGAGTCAGCACATGGAATCTGGGAGTAGTTCAGGAGATCTGAGTCGAGGCACCGCGTGCAAGCCTGACTAGCTAGTTGACTTGTAGGCAGTGTACACGATTGCTGCAGGCGGGCGACCTTGCCCACTGCTTTTGAAGGCAAACTGTGCACGAAGCCGTGGATCCTGATTCCTGCCCTGAGCGGGAAGAATTGGTCCACAGATGCAGTAGCGTGCT